GCTTGCTCGTTTGCCACCTTATGTTATAAAAAAATAAAAAAAAGATACGCGATATAAAGTTAAACTCAGGAATAAACTGAGTATAAGCAAATATTAGTACAAACTATGTTTATACTCAGTTTATTCCTAAATATAACTTTATACCGTTTATTTGTAAGGCTGTAAATCATTATTAGTAACCAATGGACACAAACATGATAGATATAAACAATACTAAAATTAAAAACAAAAGCCAAAGAACTATCTTACCTAAAAATAATGAGCAATAGAAACAAGCTAGTAACACAGGAGCTCCAAGACAGCCAAGTCAGTAATGGATCAGCTCTATTCCTGATCTCAGTGACGATGCCAGCCGCGACTTGACTGGCAGAGCGACTGGCATTGCTACTAAACGAATATGAATGGTGGACGTGAATCTTGACACAGAGCAACGACTGGACACGACTCGCAAAGCTCTTGAACTCTAGTGATATATCAAAGAGAATATTGATTGTGAAAACATAATCACGTAGACATCCACTGCTAAATATACGGAAATCTGGGTTACTCTTATTGAAGTTTTGATAAAGAAATCATTTGTGAACAGTCTGATCATTGCGTCGTAATTAGCTGCCTAAGAAATACCTATTTAATTCAAAGTATCGCTACGTTACTCTGTTACTTAACTGCTATTCACTTTACAGTCGTAAAGTATTATGGACCACTGCATTATTTTCCTTGTACATGACCATAAGCGTCGGTGGCTCAGTGGTTTACGCACTTGACTTGTAATCTACAGGTCTTGGGTTCGAACCTCGCTGTACCAATGTGATTTTCGAATTTTCATATGTACATAATTTACCCGACGTTCTTACGGTAAAGGAAAACATCGTGATGCCTGCACATATCGGCGAAGAAATTCGAAGATATGTGTGAAGTCAACCCGCAGTGGGCCAGCGTGGTTGACTATGGCCTAGTCACCCTCTACTTAGGGTAGGCTCCGACCCCTCGGTGAGGACGTATAGTGAGCTGGTGATGATGATGACATGAACATTACAATTTAATTATCTTTCGCCGTCGATTCTGTCCGCGCGGAATTTAATAAAAAAAACCTGTGTTCTTTCAGACTGATCTACATATATGCCAAATTTCAATAAGATCCTTTTAGGAAATTAGACTGAAAACTCTAACAAACATCCATATTTATAATATTAAAAAGAAAGACTTACTTCTTTTCATCGTCGCAACAATAGTAGTCCTGGTATAATCAGCAATTTCAAATATTCTTTTGAAGCGTTTCAAAGATTGACATGATACTTCAGCGAGATATTCATAGTTAAAGAATCTGGGTACTTTAGATCGTAACAATCTACCTCCACCCAAGTTCAACATACGGACGCAATGCTTGTACGGCGTCCCTAACTTCTGGTTACATTTCTTAGTAATCGAATTCAACCATGGAAAGGAAGATTCTAGAACATTGGCTGGAATCGAGAAACTTCGTTATAATTACAACAAAGCAGAATAACGTTAATTACATCGATACTTTATTCATAAAAAGACTCAAAATTCATGTTTGTTGAGTTTTATTACAAACATTATTTTCTCGAGAATTCAAGTCGCGTCACAAAAGAATGAAAATAAAAAAGATAGCACGTCTTTCTCTGTCATCTCAAATCTCCCCATCTCGATTCCCAAAAAAATTGCATTTTTAATTAATTATTTTTATTAATAAAGGTGAGAAATTATTAAATCAATACTTGTGAGAATATAAGCAGTAATACATATGTGATAAGATGTTAGAAAATTTTCCATTGCAAGATTTGTACAATCGGGAAAACTGGCGGTGTTCCACCTCAAAACTTAAAATCGTTAAAGGATCTTGGAACGAGATTTGGAACAAAAATACAACGCATTTTATATGAGTCTATAGAAAAAAATTGGTTAGTAATACACGGCTAGTTTGTTTTATTAATATCCCTCCGTTTCACACTGGTATCTAATTAGTTATTTGTAGGAAGAAGCGGAGTTTGTCTCGTAATGAACAAGAACAATCCTGAAGAACACTGCGAATTTCCGCGACTGTACGTGAAAGTATATTGTAACTAGCTTTCGCCCGCGACTCCGTCCGCGTAGAATAAAAAATACAAAAATGAATAGCATATGTGTTCTTCTAGACTATCGTCTACATCCATACTACATCGAAATCCGTTCAGCCCTTTAGGCTACAAACTCTAACAAACATCCATCCATCTAAACTTTCGCATTTATAATAATAGTTTATGATTAAAAAATGTATAACAATCATTATTCGATTTAACTTATTTAGAATGAAAAGTACTAACAATAAAATTAAATCACTTACCAATACTAATCACCAATCGATGTGTACTAATTAGTGTTGTTTTTAACTTCTTTGCGATACCTTTTATACCTTCAGTCATTGTCTCTATCCAATCTTTCATTGCGTTAAATGGATTCTTTATTGAATCCGTTATATCCTTCACGCTGGTCTTTATTTGTTCCTGATAATAGGTGCAATATTTAGGGCTTATCCCATCGCTGGCTGATAGAGGCTCAGATAGCTTAAAAAGACGCCACTGTCAGATAAGGTAACAAAATCCGACATTTCCATCACGTACTTCACACGTTGGACTGTTATCAGACCAATCACAATTTGGTGGGACAGGCTCTTACAGTACCTACCCAATTCTTGTAAATTGTCAGACAACAATCTATCGTACAAAATATGTGATGGAAATATCGGATTGTGTCCCCTTATTTGATACTGACGTCATTTTTAAGCTATCTGACCCTTTAACAGCCAGTGGTGGGACAGGCCCCAAGTCTAATAAAGCAAGATCTGAGAAATTGACTGAACTTTTAGAAAACATACGAATCTAAAGGCACTTCGCTTGTCCACGGCATACATCATATTATTGGGTCACTAACCAATAAGAGAGGTGATATTTTCAGATAGGCGTTATGGCAATGGAAACCTACAATATACAAAGTATGAAATTACCTGATGACAGGCCATTGACTCGGATAATACTTCAGAGTTCTTTAAAGTGTTTGTCGCAGGGCCGGTTAGTATTAGTACTAGAGCATAGCAGGTCAACGTATATCTCCCCACGCGGGAGAAGAATTGCGGTATCAGCAGGAATACAAGACATCTGAAAAAAGTAGAATGCTTAGGGCCTGTCCCACCAAATTGTAAATTGTGTAATAACAATCCAACGTGTAAAATATGCTATGGAAAATTCGGACTTTGTTCCCTTATCTGACAGTGATGTCATTTTAAGCTATCTGGGCCTCTATCAGCCAGTGGTGGGATAGGTCCTTATTCTGACAATATTCGGAAAAGGCAAGATAGATAACCAGTCGTGTTGACAATCCTAATAATTGACTCTACACTATACCTATTCTTTGATAGAAGTCACAACCTTTTTTGTCGTCTTAAAAAGTGCATCTTTACTTTTACCTACTCATTGAAGACGTATTGCGGATAAAACTTAACTTCAACTTTTATAGTCGCAATGCGCTAAGTTGAATTACACCAATCCTGATATTAAAGGTCTTTGGAGCATTAAAAGAAAAAAATATTTACCTTACTCGATAGCTAAAAGCCAATCCTAGAGTAAGTAGGACGCCGATTATCGAACTCATAATTGTAGCATGCATCAAAGATATTGATAGTTGAAATACGAAAAACATGAAGCATAAATATGTAAATACAATCCCTCCAATAAATCCGATGACGCTCTTCATTAGGAAATTTGGAAATGTCTGATCTGTTGTCAAATAAACAAGCAAATTGGATACGGACGATCCTTCGGGGCACAAATGTTTGAACTTCTTTACCAAACGTTTTTTAGTATTATAGCTGTAATATGACCATTTTTGCATCAATGTGTTTTTCGGAACTTCAACGTTGGTTTGTAGCACTGAATTACTTTTCTCTTTTTCATATTCCGATCTATATTTCTCGATAATGCGTGCCTTCCAGAGCAACGCAAAGTTAGCCATTTTTATTTTGGTATAAAATTGTTTGTTACGTATCTCGAATGTAAAATAATTTAAAAATATTTGGCGTCATAGTCCCAATATACAATATTCTATTAAATTGTAAAACACGGTGTATTTTCCAAAACCATCACCTGACAGAAGCCTGAAGACAAAAAGTCTCAAAATGCTGTTTTAATTCTAACTGAATTTCTTGGTGGCCAATGTTAAAATTGAACGTAAGAAAGAATCACGACTTATCGTTTTATTAATAAATTGTTTAGAAATGTTTATTAAGAACTTGTAAAGGAGAATTTCATTACAAATATTGAATGTGGGTATTAAGGAAATACATTTTAAAAAATCTGAAAAAAAATCAACGGAACGCTATCATCATAGATTATTCATCAAACAGACTTCAAAATTTAAGGATTTTCCCAATTTGTATGCAAATTACAATTTTTAAGTTCGTAATTTATTGTAATTAACAAAAACATGAAAACACTGCAATCTCGTAAGTTATGATTAAATACCAAATAGTAACAGGCATGCCCTGATACAATATGGATTTAATTTAAATGTACGATAAAAAAAACCGTAATTGCGTAGCAAATTTTACTAGGCGCTTTAAAGTAAGAAACTTGTTTTTGTCTAATGTAGTTCCATATAATACAAATCACTTCCAAATTATATAAAAACATTCAACGTTACTTATACAAGTATCTAACAAAAAGCCTTTGTTACAAAATGAGTCCATTCTGATACTTCAGCGTTAATAAGGATGTTGACAATTTTATAATCAATTTTGCAGCACAATGCATTTTTTAACTGAAATGCATCTCATAGTCTGTCGAATCCGACTTGATATATGTGTTAGAACAAAAGGTTTTACACAAGTTCGTTGACTCATCAGAGATTATCAATAACATAATTAAAATGTGCTCGCTCCGTTTTGTAGAGAATCTGCGCGAGGGACTCTTCATTCATAAAACATGCGCAGAACACTGCATTGCTACAAAATCAACTTCAGACTGTTTTAGCTCCGGATAGAAACGACATATTTTATTTTTTCACGGCTTTTTCTTTAAGTAAATGTCGTTTACTTGTGTTAATGTGTGAATATATTTAGTGAAATTTAAAGTGAAAATGTTTTTAATTGAAAATTAATTTATAAGAAAGCATACTAATACATGTAAGTTACGCTAAATTGTAATTTGATTCGAATAAGGCTTACGTAGTGACAATGTGCAATTGAATTCAAATCAAGTATGCATTAACCTCATGTTATACCCGATTTTCACCAAATTTATTAATAAATCTTAATAAGTATCATCATATATAAGTACTACATTTTATTAAATACATAATTTTTATTAGTCAACCACATTTGTAACAAATAAGACAATGTTTCTAATACTTACTGGGTATCTTACATATTTTCATGTATTTGAGTTAAATTATTTTATAAGAACAGTACACATCTACGTTCTTTAATCTTTTATTGCGCAAATGTTGACTAATTAAAGGCAACATTTTTAAATTATTGTCAAATTAACTGACGTTTTCAATATTTGTGTTTACCATTTTTAAAACTCAATTTTCAATACATTAAAATTCAAAATTTTATTTCTATCATTGTTGAGGTCGCTTTTATTTTTTTTAATTATTTACCGTTACGAAGGATGTTTCAAGGTATGAAAATTTTTCATTGTTTCTTTTTGGGACTTCATATTTCGGCTTATACATGTAAATTGCAACATTTAAAAAATTATTATGTTTTTTCTTCTTTTGTAATAATAACTTGTCCGCATAATTTTTCGCTATTTCATAGGAGCTTTTAATATATCCTAATACCTTTTTCCAAACATATCCATGTATCAATAGACTAGTTACAACATATTGTTATTTGTGTTCATTTATTTTTTTATTTATTAGATAATGTAGTAGACAAGAAGCGACCATCTGAATTCACTAAAAAAGTCAAGCCAACTAAAAATAATATATAAAATTGGAAATATGTAGTGTCTGAATAATGAAGAAATAATGTTTAAGGTCCAAATATTTACCAAATCTTTTAATATTGAATCATTTGTTTTTCTTAAATCATATGAGTTTTTAAAATTATAAATGCAGGTTTAGATGAATGGATGTCTATAGAAGACCTAATTGGGTCAGGGATTGTTAATGAATTTTGACACAGATGTACATAATCTTTTAAGTTGTCATTCCAAGTGAATTAAGTTGCAAGCTAACTTAGTCATTCATATGTGTAGAAATATCTTTTTAATGTATGCACTTGTGATATTTTATTGAACCAGCAGACAACCACTTCATTCAAGTGGTCATAGAAATGTGCAACAATTGAATGAGTTATTTCCAGCCTTTATTTGTAAAAAAAATTGACATTATTATTTTAAATACTTATACTAATATTATAAAGAGGAAAGATATTTTTTTTTATGTATTGTAGTAATTCCAAAAGTACTGGACTAATTTCAAATATTCCTTCACCTTTAAAAAGCTATGTTATCGGTGAGAAACATGGGTTTTTTAATACTTTTTATTTTATTGCAAACAAGGTCGCAAGCAACGGGTAGTATTTTATATCTGTAGCCATATGACATTGCTATTATTAATTTTAATGGAACAGTTTGAAATATGATAGGGTTTAGTAAATTTTTTAAACAAGAGTGAGTTTATAAAGTTTGTTTAAAACAAATCTTATAGTCATATAAAGCTTAATTTTATTTGCAACAAAAGGATATTCCAGCCAGGACTGCGTGAATGGAACTTAGGAAGTTAGCTTAGGTTTTCAATATTTACTTTGAATGTTTATGATACTGAAGTTGTCAAGTATACAAAATTGTAATTACTTGTTGTTTTTTTCTATTTATTTCTTGGTATTAACAAAAACCTTTAAGTTGTAGTACTATTTTTTACAGATTAAAATGTGATACTTACTATTATCTTACTAATATTATAAATGTGAGAATTACATGGATGGATGTTTGAGTTGTCAACCTAAACAGCAGAAAAGGTCTTTATCAAATTTGGCACAGATGTAGAACAGTCTGGAACAAAACATGCTACATATTAAGTTTTTTTTTTAATCCGGGCAGATTGAGGCGCAGACTAACTAAAATCTAGTTGGTTGGTCTTAATGAATTATATCATGACTTTAGTATAGGAATTATCAATGACAGCATACATTATTATTACGACATCAATTGTGTTACAATCCAATTATAGATAGCCCCTTCTATGTGCTCTTTGTATTCATAATCCTTGTTATGTATAGTCTTATAGTTACAATTGGCTGTTTATGGAATTTCCATTAATAATTTTGGTCCTTTTAAAAGTGAAATCTGATACTACATAGTTTTTATTTGTTAGAAAACGCCAAAAGACATAGAATCTAGTTATTTTCTGCAATAAAACACTATTTTTGCTGCAACTAGATACATGTGGTAATGTTATGCATGGTTCACACTTTGCAAATACAGTTGGACAGTTGTGCAGGCATGGATAGAATGGACACACTCATGATCATCCTCTTTATCCTAAGCCGGTAGTGGTATTTCTTTCTAGGTCTACCTATATTATCCCGATTTATCCCTCCAATATTACCTGGCTGCAGTGAGTCACTGTCAGTTCTATTAAGCACTACCAGACAACTGTACTGGCCAAGTGGGTACCAGGAATTAACAATGGTCTAAAATAACTTCTATTTGTATCTGAATTGGATGTCTCATTTGTGAACATGTTATTGAAGTACACTTTGGATGTTTTGTTATTAATTGTATTGTAATGGTCTTATAAGCTTGTTTTTATTAATGTGCTGAAAATGATAGACAAGACCTTGAGAAATTTAAAGATCTTAGCATACATATAGACATGTAGATACAGGGGAAGCGACTATTTTTAACCGACTTCTATAAGACGACCGAATTTTATAAATACGAAAAATTTGATGGATGGATGGATGTTTATTGGAGTTTGTAGCCTAAACGGCTGAATGGACCTCGATGAAATTCATCCTTTAAGGATAGTCTGGAAGAACTCATATGCTATTTACTAATTTTTTTTTAATTCCACGGGTAGTATAAGATAAAGCAAGTTATAAACTTGAAAAATGTTTTTTTTTTATAATTTCTAAAGTCGCGTGTTGTTTTATGTAAAATAAGTTATAATGTGCCCCAGTTCTAAGTAAGTTTCTTGTTACACCGTTTATTGCTAAACACACTCTAACTTAACGACCGAGACAATTTTATGTCGTCGTTTTGGTATTATAATTTTATAAGAATTAACAGGGATGTTATTTCTGTATGTATCGAATACACAAAATATACTGAACCGATTTAAAAAAAAAACAAAATTTCAGTGGAAAAATCACTGATTAACAAGCTATATTTATTACTAGATTATCTTTCGCCAGTGACTAATTACGCGTGAAATTAAAAAAAAACAAGAATGAGTACCCTATGTGTTGCTCTAGACTATCCTCTACATCTATAGAAAAATTCATCGAAATGCTTTCAAACGTTACGGTTACAAACATTGACAAACTTTCGCATTTATAATATTAGAGTGATTATTTTTCCGCTAGGACAAAGTCGCAGGCAAACGTTTATAGAAACTAATTTGACAGTGTACTATTTTCGTTAACCTGATTTCATAGAAATGCTGTATTTAATTTTTTTGCGCTAAAGTGTTTGCATGATTGGGTTGGGCTGAAAGGTCTGGGCGTGTTCGTTGTCATTTACTACGTAAATTACGTTTTTTCCACATTCAACTACTTTTAATACGTTGTAAAAGGATTTCCACTGTCAAACCCGGATGAGAAAATAAACCTCTCATTCCAATTAAAAACAAAAGTAAGCATGTGTTTTTATTAATATTAATAGTGCCGTCAAATTATATTATTTGTATTATTTATATAGCGTATTTGAAAGGATTGAATGAACCATTTTTCTACCATAGAGCACGATGTAGGAAAATGTATTGATTTCAAGTTGTGGCAACTCTAGTAGAACGATATTAGAAACAGTAATATGTATAGATTTATGGCTATATAAAATTTGAGAAAAGCAAAGGACCAAGTAAATGGATATTTGTAATTTCGCTTATATTTAACTTACTAAATATTTATAATATTAAGAACAAGTAGGTTATGTTTAAGTTTATAAATTATTTTCTGAGAAACATTCCAATCTGGAGCTAAATTACCAAAGAAATCTAGCATTTCATGTGTTTTGTAAAAAAAGAGTTTGTTTCTGAAAAAGCAATCATAGTATATTTTTTAACAAATCATCCCTGAATAGGGATTGGGCTTTTTATTCAAAAAGCCCTACACTTACGCTATTTAGGCTATATATTTTCAAGCTATTAAACTTAGGAGGTAAATAAATTGGAAAAAACCTTCATGTGGGAAAGGAAACGTAAACTACAAGCTGCCAACATAAAGATTTAAAGGATTTCAAAGATTTATTTATAAAGTTACAAAAAGGAAGCAAGGTTGTCATTAATGCTTTTGAATTTTGACACTTTTCAAATGTAAACAATAAAATAAAGTATTAATCATTTCATGCGGATGAAGCCGCATGGGGACAGCTAGTCAACTAATCAACAACATTATGTAATATATTAAATTTATGGTCTGTTAATAATTTTCCACTAGACCATGGACAACGAGCAACCTCACCAGGAGCTGGTGAAGTGCGTGGTGGTAGGAGATACCGCGGTGGGGAAGACGCGGTTAATCTGCGCCCGCGCTTGCAACAAACACGTGTCTCTCTCCCAGCTGATGACAACACACGTGCCTACTGTCTGGGCTATAGATCAATATAGGATTTATAAAGACGTGAGTACAAATGACTGATAGTGGCCATTCCGCTTATATGAAAGTTAAATGACGAGCAAAAGTAGACCTTATCCCGATGACCTATGATTCATTATGTCTTGTCACTCGTGATGAACTGCATATATCTACAAATTCAAAGACTTTTATGACCAATTCATTTCCTTTTTTCTACAAGGTACTATCATTTTAACACTGGTCTAATCTTCCAATCAACAGGTTCTAGAACGTTCTTGGGAAGTGGTTGACGGAGTGAATGTGTCACTAAGGTTATGGGACACCTTTGGCGATCACGAAAAGGACAGAAGATTTGCTTATGGAAGGTAAATCTAGAACAAGATGCTAATATATTAAATTCTACAATACAAGTATAAAAATATATTTCTTTCTCTTTCTCAGCGAAAGAAAGGAATCACATTTTGTTTTAGAGGAACTTAATATGATTGTTTAACCCTGTGACCTCTAAAGTAAATTAATTTGGTGTTCATTTACGTCACTTGCCACTGTGAATCCTTATTTGTAGAGTAATCAACATTATTCAATACGAGCTTTCGCCCGCGACGCCGTCTGCGTGCAATTAAAAAAAAACAAAAACAAGCCTATTCATATAGAAGATAACTCTTCCAGACTATCTTCTACGTCTATGCCAAATTTCAACGATATCCGTTCAGCAGGCTACAAACTCTAACAAACATCCATCCATCCGTTTAAACTTTCGTATTTATTTCAGATCGGATGTCGTATTATTGTGTTTTTCAATTACCAATCCGATATCGTTAAGGAATTGCGGCGCCATGTGGTATCCTGAAATCAGGTAAGTTTATATTTGTTAAATTCAATTTAAAATAATTCTTATAAAGTCGTTTTCGCCTGTGTGGTGTTAAAAATAAAAATTAAGAAGCCTATGAGCTCTTCCAGACTTCTATATTTATGTCAAATTTCATCGAGATCCGTTCAGCAGTTTAGGCTACAAACTAACAAACTAAACTTCTAATATTACTACTATAATAGTATAACGAGGAAAGATGTGGATTTATGGATTTTTTATGTAATGAAATAACTCAAAAACTACTGGGTCTATTTAAAAAAATCTTACACCATAAAAAAGCTATGTTATCGCTGAGTAAACATAGGCTAAAAGAACATTTTTTTACTATTACAATTTCAAGTGGACAAAGTCACGAGCAACAGCTAGTTTATTGGTAAGATATGTTTTATTTAACAACTAGCTGTTCGCGACTTCGTCCACGTGAATTTTAAAATGTAGCCTATATTACTCAGCAATAACATAGCTTTTTAATTTTGAATTTTTGAAATCCCAGTAGTTTTTGAGTTATTTCAATATATACATAAATACATTTTTCCTCTTTATAATAGTATAGATATAATCTTAGTATTAATGTAGCTATGTGTTATTTGTAGGCGATTCTGTCCAAACACGCCAGTGTTGCTTGTCGGTTGTAAAAACGATCTTCGCTATATGTATAGAGATGAGACGTATTTGAATTTCTGTAAAGATCGCAGCCCATTTATTAGGTAAGTAAATTATTTTGTAAGAAAAAGTCTATTTAAATACAATTTCTGAAAGTAACAAAAATCGTTAGGTTGTTAATTTATTAGTGCTTTAAGGGTGAGGGCTCTTGCGTCTCTAAAAGTCAATATAAATGTTACATAACAAAGTTAATGAAATTAGCTTATCAAAGGCTTGTCCCACCACTGTCTGATAGAGGCTCAGATAGCTTAAAATGACATTTCTGACAGATAAGGTAACATCCGATATTTCTATCAAATAGTTTACACGTTCGATTGTTATCAGACAATTTACAATTTGGGACAAGCCCTAAATATATATTCTAATTGTATAGTCTATACTAGACTACGCCCGCGACTCCGTTCGCGTGGGATTATAAAACAAAAACATCTAAGCCAAATTTCATCAAGATCCGTTCAGCCGTTTCGGCTACAAACTCTTATAAACATCCATTCATCCCTTCAAACTTTCGCATTTATAATGTTAGTAAGATAGCTGCTGCCTGCGACTCCATCCGTGTGGGTTTAAAAAAAAACAAAGTGAGTAGCCTATGTGTTCTTTCAGACTATTCTCTGTATCTGTGACAAATTTCATCGACTTACTTTCAGCCATCCATCTATCTAAACTTTCGCATTTATAATAACTAGTATGATTAGGTTGTTTTATTACCTTTTCTAGAGCTCCAAGGAAAAGCGACTTAGTAATGCCTGATCAAGGTCGTGCGTTAGCTCATGAGTTTGGTATATATTACTATGAGACATCAGTTTTCACGTATTACGGTGTAAATGAGGTTTTTGAGAACGCGATCCGAGCTGCACTGATCGCTCGCAGACAGCAGAGGTTCTGGATGACTAATTTAAAGCGAGTGCAACGACCATTGTTGCAAGTAAGTAATTACTTTGACAGTGGTAGTGCCCGCTTTAACATCTTCGCACTGCAGGGCTCGCCCCCAGTAATACCACGACCACACAGAAAACAGGGGTGAAATGGAGGCAATTCCGTGTTTCGTCTGATGAGTGTAATGCCGGAGGCCTAATTTAAGTCCCTTTCTCTTTACCACCCTTTTCTTATAAGGAGAGGATGGGAAGGGGAAGTGGATTTGACGATGGAGGAGATGCATAGGAAGGGGAGATATCCTCTTTATGTGCGTCTCCTCCGTCGGATAAGGGTAGGCAACGCGTCTGCAATTTCGGATGTCTATGGGCAGCGGTCGCTTCGCCATTTTGGCGGATTAAGGTGGCCGCTTGCTCGTTTGTCACCTTATGTTATAAAAAAAAAATACTTTGCCATTTAAATGTGTAAAAGCATCTTAAATACTTCATCTATACTATTGGTACATATTACTTGTTTTCTTCTAGGCCCCTTTTAGACCTCCGCGACCGTTGGAACCAGAAGTGGTGACAATAAATAGCGTTTTTTTAGAAAACATGACTACTTTACTCCGTCAACAGGTAAGGAACATTTGTACTTACATATCTAAGTACGCTAAGCTACGTATTTTGCTGACGTACGCATTGTTCTGTTTGTAAAGTCACTTAAATCTTCCTATAATAAATTTAAAGCATAAATTTTGATACTAAAGATAGCTGTCGCTTCTGATTCTATCCGAAATAAAAAAAATAAAAGTTTGTGTTTTTTGAGATTATATCCTATATTTATGCCTAACTAGATTTCGGCTTAAAAAAAAACAAAAACATGTAGCCTATGTGTTTTTCAAGACTATTCTCTATATCTATGTAAAATTTTATCGAGATTCGTTCAGCCGTTTAGGCTGCAAATTCTAACAAACGTTCATTCTGAACGTAGTAACAAACATCCATACATCTTTCGTCTTTATAATGTTAAAAGTAAGCATACTAATATTATAAATACACAAGTTTAGATGGATGGATGTTTGTTAGAGTTTGTAGCCTAAACTACTGTACAGATCTTAATGAAATTTGGCATATATGTAGTTTTTTTTTTTAATTTCATGTGAACGAAGTCGCGGGCGATAGCTAGTATTTAAATATGATAACTTGTAGTAATATTTGTTTCCAGTATTTCTCCGACATGGTGATAATCTGCGGCGCGAAGGGTTTCCCGGTGCACAGGTTCATGTTGGCGGCGGCGTGCGAAGCCTTCCACCGGCTGCTGACCACGGACTGCGTCAGTCTGTCGGCGGAACTGGCGCGCAGCTCCAGCGAGAGTAGTATGGTAAGTAGACATATATCTTTATTAAAAAAAATATAAAAATGTCTATGTTACTTAGTGATAACGTGACTTTTAGTGAAAGATTTGTGATTGACCCAGTAGTTTTTGAGTTTTTACAATACATATAAAAATGCATATCTTTCCTTTTTGTAATATCATTATAGATTAGCTGTTTTTGACGATTTCACTGATGTTAAATTATAAAAAGGTAAAAAACATGGCCCATGTTACTCAGTGATAAAGGTAGCTTCTAAATGGTGAAAGATTTTTTGAAATTAGTCCAGTAGTTTTTGAGTTATTCCAATACATATAAAATACAAATCATTCCTTAGTATAGAATATCTGTTTCTCACGAATTCGTCCCCACAAAAAATAGTAAAAAATAGCATGTGTTACTTAGTGGTAACATAGTTTTTTGATGGCGAAAGAATTTTTGAAATTAGCCCAGTAGTTTTTGAATTACTCCAATACATATAAAAATACAAATCTTTCCTCTTGATAATATTAGTATAGGTTAGCTGTTTCTCACAAATTCTTCCACGTGAAATTAAAAAGTACATAATAAAAAGTAGCCTATGTGTTCTTCCAGACTGCTCTATGCCAAATTTTATCAAGATTGGTTCAGCAGTTTAGGTTAACAATCACTAACAAAAATACATGCAAACTTTCGCATTTATAATATTACTTAGGGTCTTTCAAGAAGCGAGCCTATCATTTCCTCAAAGACCGGCAACGCATGTGGTTCCTCTGGTGTTCTCCAAAATCAGCGCACCCGCGGACAAACCAATTATATGGTTTTTGCGGGGCCATATTTGTGCATATTTTTTAATTTGTGTCATTTAATATTTTCAATAAATAAAAAAAATCCATGGGCGACGTTGACCAACTCGGTGTTCTTACCGCTCGTTTGCTCCCTTTTATTATAAAATATATATATATATATATTTACAGGTAAGCAGTATGGGTGAAGCGACAACGGGTGACTTCAACGAAGACACTGAATATTTAATTAGACAGGACCAAGCGAAGCAGATGAGGTAAGTTTTAATATTAAAGAATTAGAATATGTCAGTAGTTTTTAGAAGAGTGAAAAAAAGATCCAGGTTTTTAAAGTACACGAAAGAAGCTTTTCATGTTATAAAAGGGATTTCCGAGAAAAAAAAATGTTTTTTTTATTTACACAATTAGTTAGTTCACGGTTTTAAATATATACTACTATTTATTCAATAGTTTTAGATTTAAATTTCACTTAATTTGATTAATTATACATAAATATATTCAACTTATTATTCTAAGTATTTAGGACTTAAGCTTATTATAAAAAAAAATGTCATTTTTCTTAAGAGAGTTAGGGCCTGTCCCACCACTGACTGATAGAGGCACAGATAGCATAAAATTACGTCACTGTCACATAAGGTAACAAAATCCGATATTTCCAACACGTACACGTCGGATTGTTATCAGATAATTTACAATTTGGTGGGACATACTCTTAACGTTATTATCAAACAGATTTATTTTATTTATGTTGTACTAGCTATTGCTTCCGAGTCCGTCCGCGTGGAATTAAAAGAAACAAAAGCAAGTATCCTATGTATTCTTCCAGACTGTCCTCTACATCTATGCCAAATTTCATCGAGGTCCGTTCAGCCGTTTAGGCTACAAACTAACAAACATCCATATAAACTTTGTTATTAATAATATTAGTAAGATTCAATGAATATATTGAAATGGTTCTTTCTCTGTTTCAGAGTATGGGATCAGATAAAACGTCGTTCGTCTTGTCAAATCCTGCCTCTCAGTGACAACTGCAAGAAACCACCAGATCTATATAGAGAAGTCAACCATCCAGCTATCAACTCTATTAGAGTGGTCAAGGTAATTATCTATACTATTATAATAAAGCGTAAACACACACTTTGTTGCCTAAGATGTCAGCAATTACTGCATATTTTTGTATAATTACTTTTTTTAATAAAACGCCCTACAATTACGTCATGCTTTAGGCTATATATTTTCACACCATTAAACTTAGGGGGTAAATATTTTGGTTAAAAACCCTAATGTGGAAAAGAGACCATAAGTTGCTGCCAACATCAAGGAAGCAAAATTGCCATACTTTGTCGTCATGTCATGTTATTTTGACATTTGCAATTGAATTTGAAATGTAAGCAATAAAATAAAATTTTCATAATTTCATGCGAATGAAGTCGCACGGGAACAGCTAGTTATTAATAATAACTAAGAAATGTTAATAATTTTTCAATACGTTTACCGTGAGTATGTTCTAGCTTTTTCTTGTCGACAGTATATTTAAATTTGCTTGTATACTTGAAAATGTAATTGTGGTACCTTATACCACATGCACTAGTTTGTCCGCCTTCTTTACTTAAATTATTATTTGACTTTTTTCAGTGCGATAAAATACAACACGCGACGTCACAGACTCAAACTATAGTCACAATGAGTAAATTAATATCGCAAAATGTGATGCAAGAAATTATTAATTTTATATACACCGGGACTTTGGACAGTAGCGCTTTCAAACAACAGGTAATTTAAATAAATTTACTACCACAATTACTTTATTATTTATTTTTTAACACATGTCTGTTTTCAAAGAGAGTAAATAATATTGGAGTATTTTTATTCAATGTTTATGTTCAAAGGCATAAGAAATATATAGACGAGGCATGAGCAAAAATTTCTCACCGGTACTTTCTCTCATAGGTACTTCAGTTGTCAAGTTTAGTGTATCGTGTCCTTCTATTGTTACAGAAATATAATAAGCTCCAACTTTTGTTTTAAAATAAATTAAACAGTGTAACAAATAATAATTTTAACAGTGGTAGTGCCCGCTTTAACATCTTAGCACTGCATGGCACGCCCGGTGTAATACAATGACCACACAGAAGACAGGCGTGAAATGGAATCAATTCCGTGTTTCGTCTGATGAGTGTGGTGCCGGAGGCCTAATTTGAATCCCTTTCTCTTTACCACCCTTTTCTCATAAGGAGAGGATAGGAAGGGGAAGTAGATTTGACGGTGGAGGAGATGCATATGAAGGGGAAATATCCTCTTTATGTGCGTCTCCTCCGTCGCATAAGGGTCAGCAACGCATCTGCAATTGCGGATGTCTATGGGCAGCAGTCGCTTCGCCATTTTGGCGGATTCGAGTGGCCGCTTGCTCGTTTGCCACCTTATGATATAAAAAAAAATGTAAATGTTTTAATATTGTCATGAGGAGGGATGAATCGCATGTTACAAGGAGAACGTTAGTTATGAGTGTGGTACTCCGGTAAAAGTAGAGGTAGAAAGAGATGGATGTCACGTGAAAGGTGACATGATGAAGAAGGGAGTGATGACAGATGACGTATGATAGTTATGTGGAGGACAAAAACCTATTGCTCCACTACGGAAGTAGGTAAAGAGGAAAATGAAAAACAATTATATTGGCATGTGGATTTGAGAATATATTAAAAGATAGCATTAGTGAGATTATGTGAATAATATCTCAAGTGAAGTGTCAACTGCCTACTCTATATATTTTTTAATCTCTTTGTTTTTTATCTATTTCTTACTTAATGTCAGCTCTGTGTACACTGTCAGATGACATAGATATGTTCCTTCGGTTTTTATTGTATATTTAATTCAGCTTTTTCTTGAATATGAATTTGATTTAGAATTTATTAAAATTATTGAATTTGAAGTGACGTTCAAATTGTTTTTACAAGATAAATATACAATTGGTTACAAATGTATATGTTGACGGAAATGTATGAAATCCGACATTATACACAATACCTAGGCAATGTCGCTCGCAAAAATAGCAAAAATCGCTCGGAATTATTGAAAACACAAATACTATTTAACAATGTGTTTTATTCATAGAAAACATTATTTTCATACTTTGCTTATTGCGATTTTGGAATTCTATACAATTCATAGGAAATATGTTTATTTACAAAGATATGTGTGTGTTTAAAAATCTTTGAAACGTTACACACATTGCCAAAATAGCTTCGAAATCCTATACTTTTCCTAGACAAAGTATACAATTCCTAGTTATCAAACATTTCCGGTAACATATACATTAGTTATTCTCTTTGAAAAAGACAGATAGTATGTGTTTTTACGGTTAAGTATACATAAGTTATACTTTGTTCAGAAATAATTCTATTATATGATATGCTAACGGCAGAATAGTGAAACGATATTTAAATAACATCTTAAATGATGAATCTACGTTTAATCTTCGAATTTCATTAAAAACAACTGTTTCAAAGTGTTTAAAATTCGTTTCAATATTGTTCCTTAAAAGAAGTATAACTATCTAAAATTAATAATCTTCTATTTTGTTAGCTTTTTAAATATAAGCTTTAGTCCAATTGCCAATTTCTCTGCAAAATTTAAATTATTTTCTATAGCTTATATACTTTTTCTGTATAATTTTATTTCTTGTAAACCTTTGATATTTCTCAATCTGTTTATATCTTATTATTAAAAAGATGAAAATAATAATTATATAATAATAAATAATTAAAATTATGTCCTGCAGTCCGCTGCGATCGGATTACTACTGGTAATTGTCATTATAATAAATTAACGCATAAAAATCATAATTATTAATTTAACTCATTATTAATAATATTCTCCATTATTTATTGATATTATTATTATTTTTAAAGATCCTATTCATCTGTAGATGTTTCTTTTGGCATATTTTATTCACTATTAAATGTTTTAATAACATTTTGTAAACTTATTTTTTAGCCTCTTCTACTTTTATTATATCGCACATTGATATAATTGAAAAGCTCTGTAATGCTATTTTTAATACAAGTATATATTCTCTTTATATTTTATATCTACAAAAATATATTTTATATTTAACATTTGGGGGAATTTCAACTGTTTTTGGATCAATATATTGTCATTCCGCTCATTATGTTTAAAAATAACAGTCCGTCATACGTATTCCAGACCAGTCTGTAATACTTGGCGTATTCCAGACTGTTATGGAATTAATAATTGATAGGAATATTGTAAATTCCTTGGTAACAATGGCTACAGGAGATACGTCAGGCTGCGGAACTCCTCGGGTTCCATGAGCTCAGCAAGTTGAGCCAGTTTATACTGGACCAGCATCTGCTATTCGATAAAGGGTTTATGTTGCAATTTCATACAGTAAGTATTATGTTTAACAATAATACCAATTTTATGATGTACTAGTTGAATTAAACAGTATTTTATTAGCCTATGTGTTCTTCCAGACTATCCTCTACATCTATGACAAATTTCATCAAGATCCGTTTAGCAGATTCCGCAATACCCTCTGACAACTTACAGGTCTAATTTTAGTCCCTTTGCCTTTCCACCCTTTCTTAAGAGGAAAGGATGGGAAAGAAAAGTGAATTTGACGGTGGAGACGCATAGGAAAGGGAAATGTCCTCTTTCTGTGCGTCTCCTCCTCCGTCAATTAAGGGTATGCAACGCATCTGCAAGTGCGGATGTTTATGGCATTTCGGTGGATTCAGGTGGCCGCTCGCTCGTTTGCCATCTTATATTATAAAAAAAAAAACATCCATCCATAATAACTTTCGCATTTATAATGTTAGTAAGAAGTAAGGTTAATAGAAAACCCGATATTCTAAGTAATTTTGACATCTCTCAGATTTTAATTGTAATTTATTTAGTTGGCACTTTCTACTCTTATTTCCTATTATTCAACCACTTATTCCTATTTGCAGTCATTCCCGCAAAGACTGCGCGAGATGTGCGTGGAACGGAACTTGTTTGCTGACGTCACGTTTGATCTAGACGATGGGATACACCTTGCTCACCGCGCGGCTCTAATGGCGAGATGTGACCCTATGAAGGCTATGTTTCAAGGACATTTCAGAGAGAGCACATCTAGAGTGGTGAGTACGACAGGAAGGGGAGGGACCTTTTCCCATCCCCCCTTTAACCGGCCATTTACTTTCTACATGTCTCTGTAATGAATTAAAGGATACGAAAGTATTCAATTTATATTTGTTTCCACAACAAAATCTAATTTAAGATATCTTTTTTTTTTAGATCTCCTTCCCTGGTGTCAAAATGTACGCATTCCAAATTCTTCTCTGCTACATTTACTCCGACAAGATACCTACAGTTGAGCCAATAAGATGCTTGGAACTGCTAGAACTTGCTAACCGGCTCTGTATGAACCGTCTCGTGAACCTGGTGGAGGCCAGGGTTATTGAGCATCTGCAGCATCAAGACAGGTATACTCCACAGGATAAGGGGCTGCAACCAGATTTGTTTCTACCTAGAGTAGATTCGATTAATTAATAAAAAAAATATATAGCCTATGTTACTCACTAATAAGGTACCTTTTTAATGGTAAAAGTATTTTTATAATCGGTCCAGTAGTTTTTGAGTTATTTCAATACATACGAAAATCAAAAAATACACATAATTCCTCTCTATAACATTAGTATAGATAATTTTAAATTTTACAGGGTCTGCGGCGAAGAGGATCAAGTAGTTGAAATATGCCTGTCTTTGTTGGAGCCTGTTAAGGTAACAGAAAACATTTATTTACACTCAATGGTAGCATTTCACACTCAAAGTTATAAATAACAAAACCTTCCAAACTTAATTTCACATGTAAAGTAACATTACCAGTAAATATATTAATATCAATTCCAAGTTTCATTTACACATTTAGAGTGACGTTATACATTCAAAGTTAAATTACAGGTCAAATTATTATTGTAAATCTGAAATTACACTTACAAATTAACATTACACATTCAGAGTGACGTTTCACAATAAAAGTGACATTACACATTCGAAGTACCATTGTATAATTAGAGTACCATTAAGCGCGCGTCGATTGCTTCTATGCCACTATGCGTAAAAGATGCGCATCCCTGGTACGCAGGGTGCGAGCCAGCCCCAACGCCATTCTACATGTGATTGTCACCAGACTGGATTGTACATATATCAATCACTGCATAAAGCTGCACGTGGCAAGCGATAATTGTACATTTTAGAATAACATTTGGATGTATGTGTGACTAACATAGGTATTAAGCTTTTTCTGTTACTAACAAACTATGAGCAAAAAAATGTAGCTTGAAATAAAGTTTATTATTATTATTATATTATAAATTCAAGGTAACATTACACAGAGTAATTACGCACTGTTCCAGCTGCACAACGCGCACAGCCTGGCGGAGTGGTGCACGTGGCGGCTGTGCGGCGCGTACGACCGCGTGTGCCGCGCGCGACACCTCGCACCCACCTCCAGGGAGTACCTCGCCGACAACCGCTGGCCGCCCGTCTGGTAAGTCATGTTACTGCGGCAAGTGGCATTACTGTGGTAAGTGACATTACTGCGGCAAGTGGCATTACTATGGTAAGTGACATACCGTGGTGTTATTACTGTGGTATGTGTCATTACTGCGGCAAGTGTCATTACCGTGGTAAGTGTCATTATTGTGGTGTTATTATTGTGGTAAGTGTCATTACTGTGGTAAGTGTCATTATTGTGGTACCACTCACTAATTTACTCTTTCATTGTTGGTTTTACCATAGTGTCATTACTGTGGTAAGTGACATTGATGCGGAAAATGTCGGCCACTAGTGATTACCATACTAATGACACTAAACGAATATTTGTAGCCTATGTATTCTTCTAGATCATGCTCTATATCTATGCCAAATTTCATCGCGATCCGTACAGCCGTTTAGGCAATCTAACAAACATCCATCCATCTAAACTTTCGCATTTGTAATTTTAGTAAGTTTTTAGTTCTCGGATGTTAAATATGATACTATATGTTTAAATTCCAGGTATGTGAAGGAATATGATTATTATCAGAAATGTTTGAATGAACAAAACAAGGAACAAAAGGATATCAGACCAACAACATCGTTACAAGCAAGTCAGCAGACTGGATGCCTTTGTTTTACAAGTAAGTTACATTGGTTTTTTATATACCATAAAGTGGTAAGCAAGCAGCCCCCTTAATTCGCCAAAATGGCGAAACGACTGACCAAATTCATCCGCAACTGCAGATGCTTTGCCCACCCTTAATTGAGAAGAGACGTAAACAGAATGTTTCCCCGTCTTTTACGTCGTAATTTTTAGCCAAAGGCAAAATGCTTCATTGTCTGTGCATTTAAATTTTGATATTTGCAAATAAAATACAAATTTTAACAATAAAAAAATTATGTCATGCGGATGAACCTTTATGGGAACAGA